GAAGAGAGTTCCACAAACTTATGTGTGTTTTTCTATATATATATACTCTTTATATATATATAAAATACATATATATATATACATAAATATATTTAAATATTGACAAGCTGCCCCTTCCACCCCAGTGTTTATTCTAACCTTTTGTTGCATTAGTAGCAATGGTTAACACAGTAGGAAACATCTCATTTTAAATTTACAACTATAGAGACAACAGAAAATGCCTTATTTTTTAATACATATTATATAGAGAAGAAATGTTAACATTCAGTCCAATTTAAGAAACACTATTTGACCAATCACTCTATTCCATGCATTATGCTGGCTGCTGTAGAAACCACAGAGAAGCTTACATGTCTCTAATCTTGACACTTTTACTTGATCTTTCAGCTAAAGATACATACAAAAACAACTGGATAATTATCATGGTTCAGCAGCGTTTTATGCAGAGGAGTAAAGTGTAGTTGCAAAGATTCCTTTGGTGAAATAGAGAATTTCTTGATTCTGAAGTACAAGGGAGAATAAATGTTTCCCCTTGCCTATACTATAATTCAGCAACAGGGCTTAAGTAGAGCTTTAAAATTGAATCACAGCAAAAAGAAAGCCCACTGATCCACAAAAAAAGATAAAATCACATTCCCTAATGATGTGATCACAATTATAGGTCAAATTGATTTTTGTGATTGTTGTTAGTTTGTTTTGTTTTGACTATATAATTTTTCTTAAACATGAAAGAGTTACATAATTCAACATCAAAATACATCACATTCTACTTAGTAAATATTGTTATTTTGTTGTTATTTGCCGTCGAGTCGGCCCCGACTCATAGTGACCCCTCCTTGGGTTTCCGAGGCGGTATCACTACGGAAGTAGGATTGCCCAACCTTCCTTCCGAGGAGTGGCTGGTGGGTTTGAACCGCCAGCCTTCTGGTGAGCAGTCAAGTGCTTTTAGCCACTATGCTACCAGAGCTCCCTTAGTAAATATTATAAATATAAATTAATGGAAACAATATAATTTTAGGATAATCAATAATATTTGGATAAGGAGCTCTGGGGTATACTGGTTAAGGCATTTTGGCTGTTAATCAAAAGTTTAGTCATTCAAACCCACCAGCCACTCCATGGAAGAAAGATATTTACAGCCTTGGAAACCCAATGGGGGTCACTATGAGTCAGAATCAACTCAATGGCAGTGAATTTTGTTTGATTTTGGTGATAATATTTAGATGCTCTGAAATTTGGTTTTATGCAACTTAAGAAGCACGTGAGAAAGTTTTTCCTCAGCGTATGACTCTACATTAATGCATTATTCTCTTCATGACTGTCCTCTACCAATCTTGCCCAAAGTTATTCAGATGGTGCAGAATTTTCCTTCACCCTGTGGTCACTTTGAGAAACTATTGCAACCTATTTTGACTCTGGGTAGCCAAAGTCTGCTAAGCGAGGGGAAAGGAAAAAGTTTTGCTCTTGTTAGGAAGGGTAATTAACCCTGGGAGATCCCCAATGGTTTGGGACTGTATTGAAACTAGGTGACTCCTTTACTGGAGGCAGCCAATGTCTCTGAATCCTCCTGGACTTTTATGTCTCAATAAGAATCCTTTGACAGTGGCTGAAGCTCCCATGCATGACTGTAGTACAGGCTGAGAAGAAAAGCATCTTAGAAGCGGTAAAGGAAGAGGAGGGAGCCTCCTAGGCTGCAATGTTTCCCCACCGTGGATGATGACACAGTAAAGACAAATAGGATGGCCAATGTCTATGTTCTAGTGCCAATACCAGTGGCCCTCAGGTTGACTCTAACTCATGAAGACCCCTTGTGTAAAGTGGAACTATGTGCCACAGAGCTTTTAATGGCTGATTTCTCAGAAATAGTTTCCCAGACTTTCTAAGCACCTTTGGATCAACTCTTGCCTCCAACATTTTAGTTAGCAGCCAAATGTGTTAAGCATATGCACTGCCCAAGTATTCCAGTGTCTGTTAAGGAGACCCTTAAATAACTAGCCCACATTTGAGTTGTTTATTTAAATATAATACATTTCTGAAGTGCTACTAAAATCCAAACCTACAATGACCAGATAGAGAAGAAATTTAATAGCAATTATACTTAACTGCAATGTTGTTGTTGTTATGTGCCGTCGAATCAGACCTGACTCATAGCGACCCCTCCTTGGGTTTCCAAGGCGGTATCACTAAGGAAGTAGATTGCCCAACGTTCCTTCCAACGAGTGGCTGGTGGGTTTGAACCGCCAGCCTTCTGGTTAACAGTCAAGTGCCTTAGGCACTGCAATTAGGGGAAATGCTATATAGAGAGTGTACATTTTTGTCTGTCCCGTAAAGATTTCATATACAATGTGGAAAATGTTTTTTTCTTTTTTTGTGAGTATCAATTTTTATAGTGTTGATGGGAATTAGGAAAAAAGATTGTAAAAAAGGGTATTCCACGGTAGAATTTTGTTTTAGACCACAGCACAAGGGGAAAAGCATTTATGAAAATTCATTTAAAATTTGGTATTTCTGATTAACTGAAGACCTGTGAATGAAGGAACGGTCTCTTGTTTCAGGCATCATCATGTATAGTCATCCTTATCCAGGAGTGCAAGACCAAGAACAAGCAACGTAAGCAAACATTTTTGGCATGAGGACTTTCTCCTTGGTGTAGCTGAGCTTTTATATAAAGTGCTATAATTGGAAATCACAGTTGTATCGGCATGAATGTCAATCTAGAAAAGCTGGTAATATATGTCACTGAGTGGGATAAAAGGAAGCTTCTGAGAGAGCATGGAGTGGAATTGCCAAGTAGAACTTGTTGACTGCAGATTCACAGAGTCTGCCGCTGTTACAAGTCAAGTGCCTAAGTGTTTCATCATTTCGACTTCCCTGCATAGCATTTAAGTATGATTTCTATGCTCAAGAATTATATATGCATGCCCTGCATCCTCCCTCTAACCCTTGGAGATGGAAGTTTTTCTATCAAGTATTTTTCGTCAGTTCAGAGGCAATGGAGCTACATTTATTCCAGGGTCACAGCAGAGTCAGGGAGGAGATATTCTCTGGCTGTCTTGCTGGACTTGGGTCACAGCCAACTCTCATACTGTTTTGTTGATGGTTTCAGTCATGGATCTTTCTGAAAGGAAGAGAGTTCCACAAACTTATGTGTGTTTTTCTCTCCCTATTGCTCACTATAGAATCAGCAGTTTAATCGATATTTTAGTAGCACTCTCCATCCTGATGGGCTACTCTGTCACCACCGCCAGCTTTGTCACCTACGTCGTAAGGGAACATCAAACCAGAGCCAAGCAGTTGCAGCATATTTCAGGGATTGGTGTGACATGCTACTGGGTAACAAACTTCATTTATGACATGGTGAGTGGCTTGTGGCATCTCAGGGACACCAGCATTATTACTGAGATTTACATACTCTGGTTTGTCCAAATCATCACCAAAATACACTGTAAATTGAAAAATAATGTTGAATCAGGCTTATATTCATTCAGTAGTTAGAGACAAGAAACTGCTTATTCTCTTCTCTGGTCTGAGAACCCTCTGAGTCCGATTCACCAAGCTACTTGTTAAAAAATGCATACTCCTGGACCCCACCCCAAACCTGTTAAATCCATATCTTGGGAGTGGAGCCTGGAGTTTATACATTTTTTAACAAGATCCCCTCATGTGATTTCCAAACACACAAAAGTTTGAGAACCACTACCATGAAGAAATAGAAGCTTAGCAATATGACAGAATAGCCTTGCCCAATGATGCCAAATAATCAAGTTTATAAAAATTTAATCAACTATTTTGAAAAATTCAAAGTATCAGCCTTTGCTGAATGACACATTAGAGATTAGTAGGGAAAACAAGGGATGCATTTCATTGATAGCTCTCTTATTTGCATAAAATGGTCCCAAAGTTCAGATGGTTTTTCTTGACTCCAAAAGGGGCAGTGTTGGCCAACAGCCCAGGATGGGTATGCATTTGCCTGGTGATTATGGTGAAATTGTCTGGGTTGTTGTAAAGATCATTGGCTTGAGGAGTTGGAGAGTAATTAACTGCACATCCATTTTGTTAATGTATCCAGTGAGCTCTGAAATGTGTTTGTTATAGAAGTCAAACGTAAAAGAATGGTAATGACTTCTCTGGACTTAATAGGAGCTTTAATATGGACTAACTATTAAGATAGCTTAAAGCACACATTTCTGTAACATCTACTTACTGCTTACAGATATTGTTCTTATATATTTGGTACACATTCCAATTTAGGAGATTTTCTCCCCAAAATTAAATTACCTCCTCTTTCATGTGTGGGTCTGGCTGCAAAGGCCTCAGCATTTAATATTTCTATTTGCCAATCAAATGCTGAGTTCTTTGTTTATAATTCTGTGATTTCAAGAATGCCTGGGACCTGCTGCCCTGCTGTTTTGTCACACCAATAACCAAGCCTTAGAAATCAACCATCAGAAAGAAGTCCAGCATTCAAAATGAAATCAGTACTTTGAGGACTGAATCTCATACCAAGCTACCTGGCTGTCTTATCTTTCTCACTGAACTTTGGTCATCAAATAATCCCAAGTCTCAAGCCTGGAGGCAGGAACACCAGGGACTCCCTGTATATCTGTAAAGATGGAGACTAGCTTGACCTCATATTGGAGGAGACAAATTCTAAAGTGAAATCAATGTAAAATATGCTGAACATTACAAGCAACAGGAGCATAAATAAAAATTCACTTCTTCAAATATTTCTAGCTCGATCTGTTGCAATTTTAAACTAAATGGGTTATTGATTAAAAGAAAAAAAACTTTCCATATCTTAAATATTGTTTTTCATATTCCCACAGGTCTTCTACTTGGTGCCTGTAGCATTTTCAATTGGTGTCATTGCAATTTTCCAGTTACCTGCCTTCTACAGTGAAAATAATCTAGGCGCTGTCTCTCTCCTTCTTCTGCTGTTTGGGTAAGCTGCTGATTAAGCAGTGAAAACAGAGCCCTGGTGACACAGTGGTTAAAGTGCTTGGCTGCTAACTGAAGAGTCAGGAGTTCGAACCCACTAGCTGCTCTTCTGGACGAAGATGTGGCAGTCTGCTTCTGTGAAGATTTACAGCCTTGGAGACCAGATAGGGAAGTTCTACTCTATCCTTTCAGGTCTCTATGGGTCAGAATTGACCGGACAGCACTGGGGTATTTGTTGAGCCACAAATAGGACCTCAATCTCATTAGCTAATTTATGATTGTCTTGGGGTTTCATTTGACATGAGTGACAGCTAATAACATATTACACTTGCTAGTCCATGGTGTGTGAAGTATAATGCGTTTGAAAATTAACGTTATTAATAAGTGTTAATATCTAACACTAATGAGCATGTGTTGGGTACCAGGTGTTGTGCTTAGCGATTTACATATGTAATCTAATTCACATAAAGATGGAGGCTTTGACCAAACAGACATATAAACAATTAGTCCAAGTGACTGGTACACTATGCAATCATCAGCCTATACTACTATGAGATCAGAAGAACTAGATGGTGCCTAGCTACCACTGTCAACCACTCAGAGGGGGATGTCTGTAAGAGATCCTGGATAGAGTGAGAGAATAATGTGGAACAAAACTCAAAATCATTTAAAAAAAAGGATCAGGTTTGCTGGTCTGATAGAGCCTGATGGAACCACTGAGACTATGGCCCTTAGCTGCCATTTAGGTCTGGAATTGAACCCATTCCTGTGGCTTCCAGCCAAACAAAAGACAGGCATATGAGCTGAACCTTTACAGTAGGTAGATACACTCCTTGGAGAGATCAATCATGGGAGAATAGAAGGGCTGGGTATGCACAGGGAGACAGCTCAAGCTGCAGGAGTGCATGGGAGGGAAGGATACAGGGAAGAGGTAACTATGGGGAGGAAGTGGGAAAGGAGCTGTTACACTGAGGTAAATTGTAGTCAATGTCATGAGACAAAGTATATGTGAGCTGCTGTATTGAAAGTGAATTTGCTCTGTAAACTTTCATCCAAATCACAATTAAAAAGAAAAAAAAGGAGGCTTTAGAATGACCAGAAAAATGTACATACATATGAATTTCTGTATTGACAAAATATATGAGTATCTGTTGCATTATAGCACATATGTATACATGCTGTACATAGGGTCACTATGAGTCAGAATCGACTCGCCAGCACCCAAAAACAACAACAATATATGCATGTATAACTTTTTTTATTCATACTTTTATAGATTTCTAAGAAGGCACATATAATATTATTGGATCTATATTTATAATAATAATAATTCCAATGCCATCAACTCGATTCCAACTCATAGTGACCCCCATTGGGTTTTCAAGGTGATAAATCTTTATGGAAATAAATTGCTTCATCTTCCTTCCTCAGAGCTTTTGGCAGGTTTGAACCACCAACCTTCTGGTAGCAGTCAAATGCCTTAGGCTCCATGCCACCAGAGCTCCTTAGAACAATAATACAGGTTGATATAAACAATGATTAGTGTAACAATACTGTCTATCCCGAATGTATGGCTGGTATCCATTTAATTAGCAATTGTAGCCAACATAGGACCTTTCTGTGGCTGGTTCTGTCCCATTGCTCGAAAGATTGCTCAAGTCTTTACTCAAAATAGTCTAACCAACTTCTAGTCTTGTTAGACAGTCCACAATGGTGTTATTTTTTATGCGACATTAAACTATGAGATTTATACTAATTGAACTCATCTTTCTGAGCAAATAAAATTTTGCTGGGAGGAATAACAACATCATACAAACATTAAATTGTAGTTGTGATGATCTAGAAATACTCAAGGTTCCTTAAAATATAACCTTCTTTCCATCAATTAAAAAAAAATTATATATATATATATATATATATATATATATATAATGAAAAAGAGAGACCTAGCTACAAGGCTTGGCAACTTCTATTTCATGCTTGTTTTTATTGTTTTTACTTTGGAACTGCATCTGACTTTTTCTTATTTATTTATTCTGTAAAAAAGAACAATCAAGGCATAATTTTAATTTTTAGCATTATTAACCTACAGGTATGCAACATTTTCTTGGATGTACCTGCTGGCTGGGCTCTTCCATGAAACTGGAATTGCCTTCATCACTTACGTCTGTATCAACTTGTTTTTTGGCATCAATTCCATTGTTTCCCTGTCAGTGGTATACTTTCTTTCCAAGGAAAAGCCTAATGATCCGGTAAGGTTCTTTCTTAGTCTACTAAACTTCCCTCAATGTATCAAAAGTGTCAACTTGCTTAAGGTGGAATTTTCCTTTTTTTAATTTTATGTTCTTTACATAGAAAATGAGAATTTCATTTGATTCTATCAAATGTAGGAAAGTGAAAGTATAGCTTTTTAAAATTATTTTTAGGCTCAATGCAGGTTAATGCCTATGATTATGTTTGCTTAGTGTCTAAACTATTGACATCTGATAGGGCTAGAGTGGAGTGATGGGATGAAATCAGACATATTATATAACCCAAACCAAACTTAGTGCCATACAGTCAATTCACACTCATAGCAACCCTCTAGAACAGGGTAGAACTGCCTTATACAGTTTCCAAGGCTGTAAATTTTTACAGACACTGACTGCCAAGTCTTTCTCCCACAGAGCAGCTGGTGAGTTTAAACTACTGAACTTTTGATTGGTTTGCAGCTGAGTAGTTAACCACTGTGCCACCAGGGCTCCTTAGACATATAATATAGCATCACATAAATCATACAGGCAACTGGTCAGCTAAACTTCTTATTTATTAACAAATTGTTGTGGTATGCTGGTGACAAGGACAATGGCTTAGTTCTATGACTATGCATTAGGAATCATTTGAACATTCATGGAGGAAAAAACCTGATTCTTTGCCTTTCAATCATGTATTGAAGTCTACTTTACTATAAGCATCACTTTCCACTCAGAGCTGACAATTATGATTAGTGAGAAGAGAAGCACTAACTATGCCAGGCAATTGAATAAAAAAGAATAGAGAGGAAATGAAGTGAACTGAGGGACAGACTAGCACACTCCAGGAGGAGAAAGAAAATTCATGAGCTGGCAGTGGTTGGCCCAATTGTGAATAACATGAAAATGAGCCATTTGCTCCTCATTGAGATATGTTTTCTCTCCCTCCATCTCATCTCACCATTTTAGTCCCTTTCCAAGTAGGAATTACCTCAAGTTCTGAAACTTCACTGTACTAAGTACCTCCCTCCCTTAGTCCCCTCTCCTCACCTGGATCAGAGTCCAACATCCTGGCTGTCCCTACCTTCTGGGGTCTAAGACAAGCTAGAAGTGACTCTGTTTTCAGGGTTGAGCTCAACACTTTTTTACCTCAAGAAAAATATAATCCTTTTCTGCCGGTATTTCAGTGATAAATCTCTATAATTTGGTGCAATAATTTTACCTAAACTCAGCATGCTTGTGACATAATCGACACTCTAGATAAGCGTCTAGGGTTTGAACATTTGCCTATGTCTCAATATAAAGTTTCATCAGTTTGTTGGAAGCATAACTCTGAGCTTCGGCGCTATTTCTCCTATTTCAGACTTTAGAACTTATCTCCGAGACCCTCAAGCGCATTTTCCTGATTTTCCCACAATTCTGTTTTGGCTACGGTTTGATTGAACTTTCTCAACAACAATCAGTCCTCGACTTCTTAAAAGCATATGGAGTGGAATATCCAAGTGAAACCTTTGAGATGGACAAACTGGGTGCAATGTTTGTGGCTTTAGTTTCTCAGGGCACCATGTTCTTTTTCTTGAGACTCTTAATCAATGAATGGCTAATAAAGAAATTCAGGTAAGTATAATGGGAAAATGACATTTGAAAACTCGATTCAGAAGATTCAGGGAGGTGTCAATAGTTAAGTTTTTGCATTTATAACATGGATATGTTTGGCTCAAAAAAATTTTTTTAAAATGTTACTCTGATTCTCCATTCCATTCAGCAACTATCTATCAAAGTTCCAATGTGTCTGCAAGTGTTACTGTAGAGTTGTTGTTGTTGTTGTTGTTGTTGTTATGTGCCATCGAGTCGGACCCGACTCATAGCGACCCCTCCTTGGGTTTCCGAGGCAGTATCACTACGGAAGTAGATTGCCTTATCTTCCTTCCCAGGAGTGGCCGGTGGGTTTGAACCGCCAGCTTTCTGGTTAGCAGTCAAGTGTCTTAGCCACTATGCTACAGAGTAGAGTAGAGGAGCAAATTTAAATGAGCACAGTTGTTTGGCTTAAAGAGATTGTGATTCAGTGGTGGAGCTCAAACATGTACATAAACAAAAGATGTCATCATAGAGTTGAGTTTGGAAGAGGAAGAGCACTTCACAGGCAGAAAGGGGAAGAGAGGACTGAAGATGGAGAATGTTAGTGAAGGGTTTGGGAAAAGAAGATGGAGATAAACTGAGGAAAGAATTACAAATAAAAAAAAAGAATCATTGACCCAGCAATTCCATTTCTAGGCATTTTTTCCTGCAGATAACCTCACACATATGCAGAATTATGTATGTATGAAGGTATTCATTGTGGCACCATTTTTAATTTAAAAAAAGAATGGAAACAATCTATGTGTTCTCTATTTAGGGACTAATTTTAAAAAATTATATACATATATTCATAAATGAAATACCTTGTAGCCATTGAAAAGAATCATACAGTTCTCTGTATTTTGTGGAATTTCTCTACTAGTTACTGTAAACTGAAAAATCCAAGGCTTAGGAGAGCTATTTTACTTAAAAAGAAAATAAATGACATATACAATTGAAGCATATGTATGCATAAACTATTTTAAATTGCGGTGCTTCTGCTGAAGATAACTGTGTAAGATTATGTACTTTTCACTATATATTCTTCAGCACTAATTCAATCTTTTACCACACATATGTATAACCTATTGAAAATTTAAATTTAAATTACATAATAGTAGTGAAAGGAAAGGTAAGAGCACAAATAGAAAAAAATCTTAGGGCATATTTAAGAACATAGAATAAATGCCATGAAGGAGTGGGAGCAAAAGCTTAAAGTGTGTTTGGGAGATTATGAAGTCCCTTGAATGCTTGATTAAACAGCTATTGTTTGGACTCTATTCAACAAACAAAGGTTTTTGAACAGAGTAACATGATGAAATGACGCTTTAGGAAATGTAATTGTTTGAATGTAGTGCTCACTGAAATGGAAGACTCTGAGACACTGGACAAACTAAGGCTCCCAAAGAAATAGAAATAGGAAATAACCAATGACAGGAAGAGTTATAAGACATTTCCAGTACTGGCAGACTGGCTACTTAAGTGGCTTTTAGAATGCGGAAGATTCAAAGAAAACATCACAGTTGGAATCTGAGGACGATAGTATCATTAAAAAGAAATAGGAACATTTAGAGGAAAGCCTGGATTGATTTGTTGAATTTTCAAATTTTCAAATTGTGTTTCATTTGGTTTGCTTTGGTATTTGTTGGGCAAGATATTGAGGTATGTTTGGCACAGTGAGTTTGCAGTGCTGGAAAACTTTAAAGTAATGGTTAGATCCTTAGTGAGATATTCACAGTATGAAGAGTACAAGATAACAATTGAATTATTCATGATAAAAAAATAATACGAATTTTAAAAAGGTAATCATTGATCTTTGATTGAGGGTGTGGAGTCTTCTAATGACTCTGGACTTTCTGTTAGGAAGTGTCTTTCAAACTCATACTGACTTCATTGTTACTGAAATGAGGCTTGTGGATTGTAATAGTGCATTTGTAAGCAGTGAAGGCTTGGAAAGCAATATGTCTTTCCCAAATACCATTGTAAAGACGATGAAGAAAGAGAGTACATACTAATTTGTAAGCATTTGACTAGCAACTACATGACAAATTAAAAAAAAAAAAAGAAAGAAACACCTAGCATGTGATAGCACACTTTTAGAGAATTAAGATCCCATGGAAACATGTCAAAATTGAGTGGTATTATTTCAAAATCATGATGCAAAAATCACTGGGTCCATTTTTTAGGCTCTTCTTCAGAAAATTTAGTTCTTCACCTATAGTGGAGACAATAGATGAAGATGAAGATGTCCGGGCAGAAAGGTTAAGAGTTGAGAATGGTGCTGCTGAGTTTGACTTGGTCCAACTACATCGTCTCACAAAGACCTACCAACTTATCCACAAAAAGATTATAGCTGTAAACAACATTAGCATTGGAATACCTGCCGGAGAGGTAAGGAACAATGTTTTCTTCCTAATTTGCTTTTGATTAGCATAATAAGTCACAAATAAAGATATTTATTTTTCTTCAGTTTTTTTTTCTGGAAATATAAAACATTCTATATTACTGAAAGAGAAGTACAGCCAATCCCTGGAAATGTCTATGAATTCTGCAGCTATAATTAACATCATGTATCATTTACCCTATGAGCCTTCCCTGTTAGCTGGGAGATTCACCAGCCCTCACCGTACACCAAGTCCTGAGCCCCTTCCCAAGCTCCTGTCCTCTCTGGTTGGACTTTGAGTCAAGAAGTCTGTTCAGGGTGTTCTCTTCAACTTTTAATTTCCAGGAAAGGGCAGCTTAAAGAAATCAGTTTTCAGAAGTGAGGTCCTAGAATGGCCATTTATAGTCTAGCCACTTTCTCAGAAGCAATATTAAGACAGCTTTGAAAAGAGAAAGTGAATGTAGGTATTTCCCTTAGTCTTCTGGGCAGAGCTGCAAACTGAATGCATTATATTTATTTGACAGGCTAAAGAAATTATTGCTTCAGTAGCTTATTCAGTAGACGTGTGATTTTGTATGAATAATGTGAAACGTATAAATATAATTACTTTGTCAAGTTAGCAAATCTTACTTGTGGCATATTTTATCATGTCATACAGAGCTATATTATCACATAATATATAAAACATGCCCTGTGCATGTATGTGTGTGTGTGTGTATACACACACACACACACACACACATATTTTCAGGTTGTTAAAAGAAGAAAAGATGTGTAAACACACATTTGTTTTAAAAGAGAAACTTTTATCAACCTGACTAACTAATTCCAGTGATCTGTTTTTCTTAGTAATTTGTTTCACCCAGGGAGAAGTTGCAAAGAGATCAAGAGCAACATGTCATTGGTTTGTATTAAGGTTTACATCTTTTTCTTTTTCTACAAACCAGTGCTTTGGCCTTCTTGGGGTGAATGGAGCAGGAAAGACTACTATCTTCAAGATGCTGACTGGAGACATAATTCCTTCAAGTGGAAACATACTGATCAGAAATAAGACTGGGTATGAAAAACTAATGTTTCAACTTACATTTGTTTCAACAAAAATCCTCACAACTGGACCAATAAGGAGCTCTGGTGGCAGAGTGCCTAAGGCATTTGATTGCTAACCAGAAGGCTGTTGGTTCAAACCCACCAGCCACTCCTCGAAAGGAAGGTTGGGCAATCTACTTCCCTAGTGATAGTGCCTTGGAAACCCAAGGAGGGATCATTGTGAGTCAGATAGGACTTGAGCGCAGTGAGGTAGGTAGGTAAATTTAGGTGCTCCAGTGGTGTAGTGCCTAAGGCATTTGACTGCTAACCAGAAATCTGACAGTTCAAACCCACCAGCCACTCCTCAGAAAGAAAGTTGGGCAATCTACTTCTGTAGTGATACTACTGCCTTGGAAACCCAAGGAGGGGTTACTACAAGTCAGATCCAACTTGATGGCAGTGATTTGGTTTGGTTTTTGGACTAATAAGCAACATCATGATAAATGGAGAAAAGACTGAAATTGCAAAGGATTTCATTTTACTTATAACCATGATCAACCCATAATCAAATGAGTGAAATAATTTAAATGGACTTTTTATTTATGTTATTTTACAGTTGTATTATTAAATCCTTAAAAGGGAAAATTAGCTATAAAAAAAGAGAGAATCTTTAAACCTTTGAGTATGACTGTGATGTTGTTGTTGTTGTTATGTGCTGTCAAGTTGGATCCAACTCATAGCGACCCCTCCTTGGGTTTCCAAGGCAGTATCACTCTGGAAGTAGATTGCCCCATCTTCCTTCTGAGGAGTGGCTGGTGGGTTTGAACCGCCAGCCTTCTGGTTAGCAGTCAAGTTGCCTTAGGTACTATGCTACCAGAGCTCCCATGACTGTGGTAGTGGAATTATTTTACCCCTTATTATCAGAATTACTGTCCCTGGTCATGTGTAAACAGTTAACATGTTAGGCTGTTAACCAAAAGGTTGGAGGTTCAAGTCCATCCAGAGGCAGCCTGGAAGAATGACCTGGTGATCTACTTCTGAAACATCAGTCATTGAAAACTCCATGGAGATAGTTCTACAGTGACACAGATGGGGTCACCAGGAGTCCAAATGACTCCACAACACCTGGTTTTTATCAGAATCACCAACTACTATGGCCAGAATTGAGCTACTTTCCCAACACTTGGCAAGCAGACAGAATTTATCTTGTACAGCTCATTTGTGGTTTTGACCTCTCACTGCAGATCTCTGGGTCATGTTGACTCTCACAGTTCATTAGTTGGCTACTGCCCTCAGGAAGATGCCTTAGATGATCTGGTAACTGTGGAAGAACATTTGTATTTCTATGCCAGGGTACATGGAATTCCAGAAAAAGATATTAAAGAGGTGAGTACACATGTGAAATACTAGTTCATTTGAAAACCATTGTTGTTTCTGTCCCTCACTTACCCACCCAGAAGACCAACTTGACATTGGGAAAAAAAACTATGACATTTTCCTCCGGGAGTGACAATGAATGTAGTCTATTGAGTGTACAATCAGTAGCTTGAATATACTTATCATATCTACATCCTATGAACTCAGAAACTCTTTGGCTTGTGTTAGTTTAGTTACTTTTGAGAACTATCAAATAGAAGTTCACACTTGCATTAGGCTCAAATTATGTATAACATTGCAACGAATCAGAATTCCAGAACACTTAACTGTGCTCATGAACAACCTGTACATAGACCAGTGGTCGTTGTTTCTACAGAACATGGGGGTACTGCATGGTTTAAAATCAGGAAAAGTATGCATCAGCATTGTATCCTTTCACCACACTCATTCAATCTGTATGCTGAGCAAATAATCTGAGCTGAACTATATGAAGAAGAGCATGGCATCAGAAAGTCTCATTAACAACCTCTGATATGCAGATGACACAATCTTGCTGGCTGAAAGTGAAGATGACTTGAACCACTTACTTATGCAGATCAGAGATTATAGCCTTCAGTATTGAAGAAACCAAAAATCCTCACAACTGGACCAATAAGCAACATCACGATAAACAGAGAAAAGATTGAAGTTGCTAAGGATTTCATTTTACTTGAATCCATGATCAACACCCAAGAAAGCAGCACCCAGGAAATAAAAATACATATTGCACTGGGCAAATACGTTGCTAAAGGCCTCTTTAAAGTATTAAATAGCAAAGATGTCACTTTGAGGACTAAGGTTGCTCCCAGCCCTTGGTTTTTTCAATAGCATCATATGCATGTGAAAGCTGGACAATCAATAAGGAAGACCCCAGAAGAATTAACACATTTGAATTGTAGTGTTGGCAAAGGATATTGAATACACCATGGACTGCCAGAAGGACAAACAGATCTGCCTTTGAAGAAGTCCAGCCAGAATTCTTCTTAGAAGTGAGGATGGTGAGATTTGTGTCTCACATTGGACTGTTATCAGGAAGGACCCAGAAAGACATCATGCTTGGTAAGGTGGAGGGTCAGTGAAGAAGAGGAGGACTCTCAATGAGATGCTTTGACCCGGAGGCTGCAACAATGATCTAAACACAGCACAGACTGTGGGCATGGCACAAGATAGGCAGTGTTTCGTTCTGTTGTCCATAGGGTCTGTATGAGTTGGGACAGATTCGATGACACCTAACGACAACAAAGCAATTTTAAACAGATACAAAGACTGTGACAATTCACCCATCACTGAGAAGGAAGCTGAAGCAGTGATGATACCTGCCATGTGAAGGGCTGAATTTTATTTTCTCTCTTGTAAATGCATCACAAGAGAATTATGTGGTAGCCTAGCATGAAGAACAATCCCACAATTGCAAACACACACACACACACGTTTGGAAAAGAAAAATCCCATTTTAAAATGAATCTCTCAAGAATTGCTTTTATCCTTTTAAGTGAACTATTGATTTTAAGTGATCCTTTGAAAATTTAAAAAAAAAAAAAAACCTATAATCAATTTAAATGTTTTAGTATTTCTAGGCATATATTTCTTCATTACGTAACTTTCTCTTCACAAACAGGTTTTTTTTTCCCCCCTATTTGGTGTATTAAAGCTTTTGGCAAGGGAACAACAACCTAATTCCTCTTCTTGGCCCACAGACTGTTCATAAACTTCTTAGGAGACTTCACCTGATGCCTTTCAAAGACAGAGCTACCTCTCTGTGCAGTTACGGCACAAAAAGAAAAGTCTCCACTGCACTGGCTTTGATAGGGAGACCTTCCATTCTACTGCTGGTAAGAGAATCATCATGAAGAATAGACACTAAATAATTAGAACCACATATCAGGTTATGTTGGGAGCTCTTGTAGCATAGTACCTAAGACACTTGACTGCTAACCAGAAGGCTGGTGGTTCAAACCCACCAGCCACTCCTCAGAAGGAAGGTGAGGCAATCTACTTCCATAGTGATACCACCTCAGAAACCCAAGGAGGGATCCTATGAGTTGGATTGACTCCATGGCAGTGGTTCGTCTGTTTGTTCGTTGTCCAGTTGCGTGTGTGTGACATTGTATCACCATTATTGTGGTAAATGTGTATTGAGGTCATATTATGTGCTTACTATTGTGCAAAGCATTTTAGGTACACTATCTCGTGGGAATTTATATCAACAAATAACTTGTTACCATGACAATAAGTCCTCAAAAATGTTTTTGTTTGAAACTGTGGCTCAGTGGGTCTCAGACAAAACACTTGGCGTGGGAAGTTGAAGGCATTCAGTTGAGGAATTCATGTGAATAAGTAAAGTTATAGGACACAGGAGAATTTGATTCTTAATATTGGAGAAATTGTATCTATTTTTCTACTAGCAACCAATAAGATGAACTAACATATTCTCCAACTTCTACTAAGTATGAAGTTTTAGAACAATTGTACTAAAGTTTTATTTTCTTGTTAGTTAAAAATGTGTGCTACTGTGTAACTCACGTTCACTTGTTAGTTAAATATGTAAATCATATCGGAAAATATAACTCACTACTGTGGAGTCAGATCGACTCATAGCAACCCCTCCTTGGGTTGCCAAGACAGTATCACTACAGAAGTAAATTGCTCAACCTTCCTTCCAAGGAGTGGCTGGTGGGTTTGAACTGCCAGCCTTCTGGTTAACAGTCAAATGCCTTAAGCACTATGCCATACCATTCTATTTTATATGAATTTTTTAGAGGCAAGGAAAAATACATATTGCACATTGTCATCTCTATGCTATATGCTATAACAGAAATACCACAAATGAGTGGTTTTAAGAGAAATCTGTTCTCTTACTGTTTAGGAGGTTAGAAGTCTGAATTCAGGACAGGGGCACAAGGAGGCTTTCTGTCTGTGTCAACTCTGGAGGAAAGTCCTTGTCTCTTTTCAGCTGCTATTCCTAGGTTCCTTGGTGATCAAGTGGCCTGTATCTCACCCTCTCCACCCTCTTTGTCCTTGCTTGCTTGCATGTTGTTGTGTTGTTGTTATTTGCTGTCGAGTCGGCCCGACTCATAGAGACCCCTCCTTGGGTTTCCGAGGCAGTATCACTACGGAAGTAGGATTGCCCAACCTTCCTTCCGAGGAGTGGCTGGTGGGTTTGAACATGTATTCTTTTATATCTCAAAAAAAGGTGCTATTACTGCCTCATTCACATAACAAAGAAAGGCCATTCCCAAATAGGATTATAACAACAAGTACAGGGGTTAAGATTTACAACACATTTTTTTTGGGGGGGGGACAATTTGATCCATAACACATTTATATTTTGGTCAAGAGTTGGGAAATGAAATTGATCACCTAGGTATATAAATTACACATAAGGGTGATTAGGTAGCATTCTACTCCCAGGGAAAACATTATAAAAACATTCTTTTCATAGAAATTAACTTGCCTTTATTTTGGAAGACCCCTTCATTTAAGGACCTCCAAACTCAGAAAGAGCCTTAGTTATATGTAATAAAATCCAGTTATAAATCTGCATATTGTTCCATGGATTAAGTTATACAGTGAATCAAATCATTTCAACTGTCTTTGTAGACTGATTCACAGCATGAGTTTCTTTAATACCAAAATCGAAGTATATCCCTGACAATTGATGCTTATAATAGAATTCTATTGTAGAAGAGTCCCTTAAACAGAACAAAAAAATCCTTGGGTGCCTTTTTGAGATAATAGATATAAAGAACTTATAATGTTAGAAATGCTATGCAAATGTTATGGATTAATGAGCTACAGGCTATGAGAGAAAGATACCATGTTTTCTTCTATATTCATTTACTACAAGGAGTTTCAGTAGAGCTCTGGTGGTATAATGGATAAGGCATTTGGCTGCTAACCAGAAGGTTGGCAGTTCAAACCCACCAGCTTCTCTGCAGAAGGAAGATGAAGCCATCTACACCCATAAAAATTTACAGCCTTGGAAACACAATGGGGGTCACTATGAGTCCAAATCAACTGAATGGCAGTGGTATAAGGACCTCCAGTAGCACAGTGGCTAAAGCATTCTACTGCTAACCAGAAGGTCATGGTTCAAAACCACTAGCTGCTTCATGGGAGAAAGATAAAGCAGTTTGCTTCCGTAAAGATTACAGCCTTGGAAACCCTATGGAGCAGTTGTACTCTATCCTATAGGGTCTCTATGAGTTGGAATTGACTGGATGGCATGGGTTTTATAGTTGATAAATAGGAGTGGTGGTGGTGTATCCTTTACTGTTTTCCCAAATTAATACTCATTTCTTTCTTTAAATTTAACTCTAACCCCCTACTACAAAAGCAAGTCTCTAGTTACTCTCTGGACATACTTTCCATTAGCTTTTTCCTTTCCATTTCTGCCCAATCTTGACCTGTAATTTGTTTGTGTTTTCTCATCTGTCAAGATCTGACTGTTTAGATCATCTGTTGCTGTTCTTCTAATTTTATGACTGGACAGTTTTTCAAAACATCGTTTATAAAAAGCAATTGTTATCTTCCTACTTGACTACTTTGGAAATATTACTTTTATTTCCATGAAGAGTATTAGATTTCAATTAATAACGTAAAACTAAAAATGCACTTTGAACATATTAACTGAAAAATCAGATTATGATTTTCAGCTCCACCAAACAGATTTCACTAACAGCCCCAATCTGCCATCAGGAGAAGGGTGGCAATCTTAACACAGCTTCAAACATGTATGTGACAACGAAGAAGTAAATGTAAAAAGTTGGCTTTGTTAGTAATTGAAGCAGAATTTATTCAAAGAAACACAAGAGACAGGTGTGAAGTGACCAGGTGTCAACTTCACTGAGACACTTTTTTTAATGAACCGACAATTTTAAATGATTTACTTGGAGCTTTTCCACAGCAGCAGAAAGAATCCTATTAAGTATAAAATAAGTTAGTCAAAGGAGTTCACCAAGTGTTTTCTCTTCTAAAGGAGTGATATGATGATTCGTGCAAAGCACCTTATCAAAAATTAATTAATTTGATGCATTTTTCTTGTTACTTTTTATTAAGGATGAGCCAAGCTCTGGGATGGATCCTAAGTCAAAAAGACATCTCTGGAGGATCATTTCAGAAGAAGTACAGAACAAATGTTCCGTCATCCTCACCTCTCACAGGTAAACTGGGTGTGGGAACTTTGAAATCAAGTTACACTATCATATGATAATAGATGGGAAAAGGTAATTCTGTGTAATGTTTATAGATAGTGAATGCCAACAATTTCATTAAAATATGTTATCTTTCTAGTAGTAAAATCAAGTCAGGTTGGTTATATGGTAAGAATTCAGCTGCAGTTGGATTGTTGTTGATGTGCATGGTAGAGTTAATTCCTATATACAGTGACCACATGTGACAGAGTAGAACTGCCCCATAAAATTTTTTTGCCTGTAATCTTTAAGGAAGATATAAATTTCCCAGATCTTTCTCCCATGAAGATGCTGGTTAGGTTTGAACCACCAACATTTTGGTTAGCAGCTGAGTGCTTAAGCAGGGAACCAAGCCTGAGCAGTCTTTTGAAAAACAAATTTCTCATGACTTACAACCTTCTTAACTCATCTATGGCTCCCTATTGCCTATCAAAGAAAGTTCATAATTCTTAGGCTTAGTACATAAGGCCTTCCGTTATCTGAACTCATCTAAATATCCAGTCTGTCTTTCCCATGACACCCTTTCATATTAGTCAGTTCAAATGACTCATGATTTCACATACACACACTCTCCTTTCCTGTATCCCATGCCATTTCTGCAGTTGGCTTTCTACCTGCAATGTTCTCTGCAAAATCTCTCCAAGTCCCATTGCTAAACCAAACCGAAACCCACTGTCACTGAGTCAAATCCAACACATAGTGACCTTGTAGACAACGTAGAACTGCCCCATGGGGTTTCCAAGGCTGTAATCTCTACGATAGCAGACTACCACACCTTTCTTTGCAGACTGGCTAGTGAGTTCGAACAGCCAATGTTTCAGTTAGCAGTCAAGTGCTTAACCCCTGGGCCATGGGGACCCCTAGTCCCAATCTTACTTGTACTCTAATAACCAGTTCATATGCCTCCCCTCCATGAGAAAGACCCTGATTCCAAGCAGCTAAATGTAAGAACTGCTAAAGCATTTTATCTGTGCTTCTCTTATGACATTGGGCTTGTATTGTAATTTATGTTAATTCACTTTTGCATTGTAATTATTATATAGTAGAAAAAGTACCAGATTTCTTTATAAACAAGAGACTTGTTTGTATCTTAGCTTTGCTCTCAGCACACTATATGATCTAGAGTAAATCATTTAATTCTCATTAACTCTTGTATGGACAGTTATATCTAAGATCTCCATTATCACAGTCCATGAAATTAGTGAATCAACTACAGATTAACTAGTTATAAATACAAAAACGTGAAAGCCAACTGGATATAGAGTAAGAAATGTAATGAGAAAAGCTCAATATTGTTTGGAAAAGTTGTTTTAGGAAGAGCAAATCTTGAATCAAACCTTGAAAGAGATACTGAGTTTGGTAGAATGGACGTTCTAGGCAAGAGAGAGGGCATTGAATATGTTGTCAAGTTGAGAAGAAAGCAGTAATTTAACTTATCTGAAGACATTAGTCTATATTGAAAATTTTGTTGTTGTTCTCTTTCAAGGGAAAAGATATCTTAAGAAACTAAAGCAATATTTCTAAAGTACCATAGTGAGACAATTATGCTTAAGCTCGTATACTGAAGCCTAATTTTCTGTGCCTTGAATGCTCTTTCAGCATGGAAGAATGTGAAGCACTCTGTACCAGGCTGGCCATTATGGTGAATGGAAGGTTCCAGTGCATTGGGTCTCTGCAGCACATAAAGAGCAGGTGAAGAACAATGTGTTCTTTAACACATAGTGTTGGCCAATAAATCTAATGGCACTATAATCTTCAAAGATTATCTCCTACAACAGGGGCAGAGCTAATTATCAACCCACTTTAAATTTAATTTGTTTTTCCCTGAGGGTTTGATGCATTTTAAGTTAACAACCCAACAACCTAGAAGGCTTAATAATAATAATAATAATCCACAATCAAAATACTTTCAAGAAGCAGTTTCAAGTGTTTACCCAAGAGCAGCTTGGACCTTGACAGGTACATGAAGGCACTTATTTTATCTGGTGTGTTCATTTGCCATTTACAGAGACTTTCAGCAAACTAACATCTTTAGAGCATTGAAAACCTTTTAATCAATAATAAATTAGAGAAATTACCATAAATCTGACATTAATATAAAATTAAAATTATATGAATAGCTTATATTTGGCCAGATATTTGACCACAGTGTATATGCGTTTATACATGTACACGTTGATTTCAAACTTTAAGATGTTATTTTTTACTGGTATTTATATAACGATTTTGCTTTCCTGTCTGGTGCTCGAGGAAGATTAGTGACTTGTTTATGAACTCTATTCTAACTGTGCTAACAGTTAGTTGGCATATTGATTTATTATTTATTTTTATAACCCCAGTGACTTTAACCTTTACTGCTGACACCAAATCTCCATTGACCCACCTTTCATGACCTTGCTTACTTTAAGTTAGAAAGTATTTAGCCCCCAAAATTGACATCAATTGCCAAATCATGGAAGTCAAAGAAAGTCTACATTTTATGTTCTCTTTCTCAGGCAGCTTTTGCCCAAAGAGTATGACTCTATATAGTGGCAGAAATAAATAAAAAAGTATAGCACTGCACTATTTCCAGCTTGTAACATGCCCTGATCTTTTATGGCAAAATGACAGTCTTTATATAAGAAAAGGGACTCTAATGTTCAGCTTGGGTCCTATTTCATTATCTAGAATTCCAGGGGAGCTATCTCAGCAAAATGTAACTCATATCATATTTTGCACTTTTTCTTTCTAGGTTTGGACGAGGATTTACTGTCAAGGTTCACTTGAAGAATAACAAAGTGAGCATGGAGGCCCTCACAAGATTCATGCAGCTGCACTTTCCAAAAACGTACTTAAAAGTAGGTGATCGTTCTGCTGCTTGACTTTGACTGGTTATAAAAGTCGTAAGCCATTTTCAAGTTGACCATAGCTTTATTATTAATCTTAATGTCTTTATTAGTTCAAGACACATGAGGTACTGTGACCCACACAGCATGAGCAAATAGAATTTCAAATCAATTTTACATATATTTTAGCTATTTAAAAGTAACATGGCCCTTTTACATAGATACATTCATTTCTTCCTCACCAAGGCATTATAATCATCTGTATTAATTTTCAAGTTGGATGATCAACTTCTGTAGTGAGACTGCCTAGGAAATCCAAGGAGGGGTCACTATGAGTCGGATCTGACTCAACGGCAATGAGAAAGAGAGAGTTTAATAGTTGTATCTGTTAGAGAACTGAAGGATGACAGATGTTAGTTTATATGACCATGGGCTTTTTTTTTTTTTTGTAAAATAAATTACTGAGTTTCAGAATGCTAGACATGGAAGACATTATCTCCTTCACTCTCCTTTGAATAAGCTGAAAAATTGGAGCTGGCCTGGATAGAAATCAGGCCATCAAGTGTGAGACGAATTAAAACAGTATGCAATTGATTTCATTTATATATATAGATATAGCTGTTTCTCAGAATAAAGATCTAATGATCTATTTCTGAAAAATCCAAACCAAAAAAAAAAAAATTCACTGCCATCGAGTTGTATCCTACTCATAGCGACCCCTCCTTGGGTTTCCAAGGTGGTATCACTACAGAAGTAGATTGCCTAACCTTCCTTCCGAGGAGTGGCTGGTGAGTTTGAACTGCCAGCCTTCTGGTTAGCAGTCAAATGCCTCAGGCACTACACCACCAGAGCTCCCTGAAAATCCTGTGGAGCACAGTTCTACTCTGATACACGGAGTCATCATGAGTCAGAATAAATTAGATGGCAATTTGTTTATTAGTGTGTGTGTTGGGGTATGTGTGTGTGTGTGTGTGTGCGTAATATCATATATATATGTGGGAGCTGTGGTGTTGTAGTCAGCTGCTAACTGAAAGGTTGGCAGTTTAAACCCACCAGCTACTCGTGGGAGAAAGGTGAAGCAGTCTGCTTTCATCATGATTTACAGCCTTGGAACCCCTATGGGACAGATCTACTCTGTCCTGCAGGATCACTATGGGTTGGAATTGACTCTATGGCAGTGAACCATATATATATATATATATATATATATATATATCCATGAGATAAACATACACACATACATTGTTGTTTGTTGTTATGTGCCGTGAAGTTAGACCCAACTCACAGCAACCCCTCCTTGGGTTTCCGAGGTAGTATCACTATGGAAGTAGATTGCCCAACCTTCCTTCTAAGGAGTGGCTGGTGGGTTTGAACCACCAGCCTTCTGTTTATCAGTCAAGTGCCTTAGGGACTATGCTACCAGATCTCCCTACACACACATATGTATATATATGCGTATATATCTCATATAGTACATAAACCACTGCCATCGAGTCAGATCTGACTCATAACAACCCTTCCTTGGGTTTCTGAGGCAGTATCTTTATGGAAGTAAATTGCCCAGTCTTCCTTCCGAGGAGTTGCTGGTGGGTTTGAACCACCAGCCTTCTAGTTAGCAGTCAAATGCCTTAGGCACTACACCACCAGAGCTCCTCATATAGTACATACTTAAAATAAATGTACTTGACAGAAAAAAATCCCATCAATAACATCTTTGATGTGCATGTAATTTGTAGAAGAAGATTTTAGCAAATGATTGATTTTAGAAGGAAATCAGGTGTGGAATGGCAAAAAAGCAATTGGAAAGACTTGAGCTGAGGTCCAGCTCTGCCTTTATGTTTTCCAGAAAGGTATTTAAAGTCTCTGAGCCTCATTTTTTTCTCATTTGCAAAATAAGAATAATAACATCTGCTTCACGAATTGGTGTGAGAACTAAATAATAAAGTACCCATAAATATACTTCTATAAGGCATGATATTAATGTAAAGCGATTTTAGAGAACAAAATGGAATGCCTTCTTAAAAACAATTCTTAATCTCTACAAAATACCTTTGCCTCGGCCTCCCCAAGTCGTGACTAGCCCCTCCAGGAAATAATATCTTTTATGATTCTTATCAAAGCCCATTTCCTATCATCTAAATTAAAATCAAATTTAAACATTAAAGGACACCTTACTTGCACAAGTTGTGTTGGTTGTAATGCTTTTGCTCTCAGTGACTGTTTGGATTGAAATCTGTGTTTGTCCACTCAGTGGAGAATGAGATTACATTCTCCCCAGTCTGTGCCTCATGGGACCAGTGCTCTACAAGGCAAATGCAATGACGATAAAAGTTTGATTTCTCTCTAAACAGGCTATTATTCACAAGTCGGTGGTGGTTTCTAGGCCTCTAGAAAGAAATAGCAAAACAACAATTTGTGAGTAAAAATAAACGAGATGATCCCATCACAGTGACAGTTGGTAATGCAAAACAAGTCGATAGGAGAAGCAAGGCAATGTAAGAAGTGCAAAGAGAGGAGATGCCCGTAACGGGAGGTCTGGAATACCAGGATGAGACACTCGATCTATGCCTGATTCATACTAGTTTGCAGGGGTAGATTCTAGAGTAAGAAAACAACCTGAGTAAGCTAGTATTTATGAACAAGTATCTTGGCTGCTTTATGCCAGAAAAGATGGGTGTATCGTTTCCAGATTTGTGAAGAAGTGGTACAGTAACTCAGATATGGAAAAACGAGAGTCATCTGAACAATCTTGATGGTGGAAATAGAGAGGAGAGGTTCGATTTGAAAATCATTTTAGAGGAAAAGAAATAGGATATAGTAATTGATTAGATATGCAGAACTGCCAAGTGTCAAAGTTATTCCAAGGAAATAAGAATAGACTACTAAGTAGATGGTGATACTACTGACTAAAATAAAAAAAAATGGAAAACAAATTTGAATGAGATGTTATTTGAATGAGGTTTCTCCTAGACTATGCCCTTGATATCTAATGTGTTTAGCCAATATAAACTGAACAGCTAATTCCTAGCAATTTAAAACAATTTTAACATTAAGATCAAATGTCTAGAAGTGATCTTTGAAACAAATTATGTGAATGAGCATACTCTGACAACAGAAATATCATCTCACATGATGTTTTTTTCCCAATCAAGACAATAATGACTTTGTAAGTGTGCATGAATGTGGAACACTTTGGAATTTCCATTAGCTTTTTAATTTGTTTTCTCTTTGGCATTCATAAAACTTTTCATCTTCTCCTTGCAAGCTGTTAGTTTCAAAACATACCCATTATTTACACTGTAGCATCATTTCCAGTGGAATGAATCCCAGTATTTTCCTTAGCTCTTGGTAAAGTTATGTCCATCAAGCCAATATTACCTGGCATTGCAAAATAATTGTCTTTTCTCCGACAGGATCAGCACCTTAGCATGCTAGAATATCATGTACCAGTCACAGCAGGAGGAGTAGCAAACATTTTTGATCTTCTAGAAACCAACAAGACTGCCTTAAATATCACAAATTTCTTAGTGAGTCAGACCACGCTGGAAGAGGTAAGATGGATATTATGACCTTTGTATCCAGGTACTCTTCAACTTATGAGAGGGTTCCTCTCCAGTGACTCAGTGTTAAGGCAGTTCTGACATAAGTCAAATACCTCTCTTTTCCTTTTCCTTTTATTCAGTTTTCATTAGTATTGCCTTTTATTATCATTATCTTTATAAATCTGATCTTTGGACACCTGCATCTGCAAGTGAAAATCTGAGAATGGTAGCAACAGCAAATTATGTGCTGTAATACTGCATGCAGTACATATCACTAATGATAAGACATACAAAAAAAAAAAGGACAGTCAAAGTGTAGTTCACTGTAACTCGACATGTTCTAAGTCGGGGATTACCTGCACAATGTACAATGTCACGTATTAATTATTATGCATTCTAGTTACTTCTTTTTAATGACATCCAATTTGTTTTTAATTGAAGCAGTGTCTAATTTTGCACCTGCAGAACTTAGCAAAGAGCTTAATTTATTTCTAACTGCATTTTGGGCTTAAAAAATAGATGTGAAAAGCATTAACTCTTTTATGAAGAGTTGAAGATATTTATTTTCTACATGACATCTATATCCATCCAGTTATATGTCTGTGTAAAGCAAAAAATATTATCACCTATAAAACAAACAGCTGTTAATGTTGTTCTTACTTTCTCCTTGGTAGGCTCCTAAAAGAACATTTCTGTTGATTTGCTTCCTGGATCATGGTGGGATCATGGTGGGATAAGAATATCTAGAGGGAATCGAGTGCCAGATCTTTAGATCTGCTCAACTGAGTCAATTAAGGAGGCAAATGCAAAACTCTTTGGTTGCATTTGAATTGTGTGTCGTAATTACATTTCCATTCAACAGTTAGGCCCTTGATAGGTCTTCCTTCATCAGCTTTGCACTGTTTTAATTTTGTGCAGTTCAATTAACCTACATACGGAAAGTTTCCATCCATCATTGGAATGGATCTGAAAGGAAGGCCACAGTGGTCTCTAAATATGAGTCAATGTACAGTGCTACCACGTATGGGCAATTGTTTGATGGAGGTTTTAAGCATTTTAGTAGGGGTTTTATACATTTTAGGAGCTCTGGTGGTGCTGTGGGTAAAGCATTTGGCTATAAACCAAAGATCAGTGGTTTGCACACACTAGCCACTCCCTAGGAGAAAGATGAGGCAATCTGCTTCTGAAAAGATTTACAGGCTTGGAAACACTATAGGCAGTTCTATTCTGTCCTATAGGTTGCTAAGAGTCAGAACTGACTCAATGACAGTGGGCTTTTGTTGTTATTTTTTGGTTTATACAATTACGGCTTTGTGGCACAGAAAATTCAGTGGCCATGTTGAAGTTCCTTTTCTTTCATATCTAGTAGTTTTTGACTTGTGGCCAACCACCAGTGCCATGCCTGGCATAGAACAGAGCCTCAATAAATCTTCTTTGAATGACTCTTATGATTAATAGACATAATGATTTTAAACAAAGTAACAAAGGTCTGCCCATTAAACGTGATGTTAATATGGACTTTCCGTAAAAATTTTATTTTAGTGCATTAACTCTTGAAACCAGTGAAATTTCTCTCAACATCATCATGTGAATATTTGATAAGAGTAGAGCTTCAGCTTCTTTTTTATACTTAATAGAGATATTGGTTTAGGCAATATGGGTATGACTATGTGGCTATCCATATTTAACTACAGCTTTTAATTTATATTATGATTATAAACATAATCACAACCATAGCTAGAGATATGATATTCAAACCCCAGTTAAGTATGAATATTTAAAAGAAGGATTTCTAGTGAGGCTGTGTATGTGGCCACCACACCCCTATGAAGTCCAGTTTCCTTCTTATTTGCTCTTCCATTGTGTGTGATGTATCAATCTTACCTCTTCCTTTGGTTTGCCAGATACTAACTGCTTTATTTCCTTTCAATAATCAGGTTTTCATCAATTTTGCTAAAGATCAAAAGTCCTATGAAACTGGTGATACGAGTTGCCAAGCTTCCAGCATAAGTGTTGACTTATAGGATCATTGGACAGAGTCTTAGCAACTCGTGAAAGTCAATCTCAGCAAATGGTCAATGACTTCATTTTGAAGAAGAGCCACCGAAGACATCATTTCTTCAAAATATCTTAATTTAAAATTATTATGTTGCATGGAAAGTTACAATTGTGTAACACTAGCAAATAACTAAAAATGGAAAGTTTTCTTTCTAAGGTTGTTGCTATTCAATTGAATTCCTGTATCCTCAACACTGTGAGCATGTTAATATATTTGCTGGTGATTTTTATGCAAAAGTGAAACTACCTACAGATGAATGTCTTAATTTATTACTTTCAATAAAAAGACGGTTCAAAAGGCATGGCTATTAGTAGTTAAAAAGTGAAAGTGAAGAAAAAAGTAAGGTAGGATGGACAAGGAAACAAAATTATTTATTTAAAAAAAAAAAAAACAGAATGAACACCATCATGAATACATGACTCTACTGTAATACGTAAAGCATTAAGAGCCAGATTGACATTGGCAGTAAGCAGTAGCCACAATGCCTACTATTCATATGTATATCAGTTTCAGTACTTGTAAATACATGGGTGTACATTGCACCCACAAAAAGTGCCCTTCTACAAGAACTCCGCGCAGTTTGCCCTGGTGGTCAACAGAACTAGATTCATTCCTGCCGTGCCTTTGCCAATAGCAAGGTGCCACAGGGCAGAACAAGAAGCTGTTACTCTTCAGGGAACATGGGTGTGTCAGCTGGGCAGATACTAACCCTGAAAACGTTTAGAGCTGTGCACTGCAGGCAGGCAACATTTTAAAAGCTCTTACAGAAACTTTCATATTGCTGGTCTTAGCTAATTACCAGGGCTGACCCAGAATCATGTACATAGCTACGGGATAAACTTCTTAACAATGCCAAATTTTATGGTCCTCATTGAAGGTGCCTTATGTAACATTTGTGTGTGTATGTTTGCTTGTGTGTGTGTGTGTGCATATGTGTCTGAAAAAGTTTGCCAGCTTTTTCTGTTTTGACTGACTTTTTCTGTTTTCTGTTTGTTCTGTTTTTGACTATTTCTGTTTCAAATTTGAATAAACATGAAGTTTAGAAAAACCATTTCATGAAGTCATTTCCTTTGTTAGGGAAGAGCAGGAACCTGAAAATGGGAGTAATGTGTTCTAGAAGGTCCCACATGGTCTGCCTCTTCCTGACTTCATCCCCTTCATTCACCTCTTTGCTCTCAAGGATCTAGCTATCTGGGCCCCTTTTCAATTTTTTCAGTGCCCCCTACTCTTTCCCAACTCCAGACATGCACATGTTGCTTCCGTGTTTGGGATGTTCTTCTCACACTCTCGGGGCCCGGTTAACAGGCTTCAGCAATGTTATCCTTCCTCAGAGATACTGTCTTTTTCTGCTGTCTCTATTTAATCAAGTCCTCTTGTTCTAATAGTGCACATTATTGTCCCTCCACTTTTGTGCCACAGCATGAATCATAATTTGTAAGATATCCAGACTTAAAATATATATCTTAACAGATGCCAAAAAAAAAAAAAAATCTTGAATAATAAATATACAGAGATAAGTCTTTTGGATTAGATGGTGTAACCCTGAAAAGATGAGTGTCTACAACAACCCAAGCAACAAAAATAGCTGGCCATGCTCCATGAAAGATCAAAAAGGATTTGTTTACTGTTTATTGTTTTTGTGGTGGTGGTACTTAGGTGGGTGGTAGTTTGGTTAGTTCTGAGTAATGGTGGTAAGGGAAGCAAAAGAAAAGGAGAGAAGGGAAGTGGAGGAAGGAAGAACCAGTGAGATGGTAGAAAGCTGGATACTGAAGGGAGATGAAGCTCCAGTGAGAAGGGGGAGTGGTTAAGTGGACTTTTAAAAACAAGAATATCCTCTTTGTTTCTCACATCTATTTGTTGTGCAGCCATGCTGTGAACTACCTTTGTTATTCTTAAATCTTCATTAAAGTCAGCCATACTTGTAAATGCTTTGTATGAATGAATGTCTTGTGCAAATTGAGGAAGAGATATCTTAATGTCTGCATTGTCACAGAGAAGGAGGACCCTAAAAGCAGAGGAGCCCATGATTTGGGGAGGTCCCCAGGAATGTGCTGAGCAGAGCTTCTGACCACTACAAAACATGGATCTGGGGTTTCAGCCAATCTTATCCACCTCTTATGAGGCATCAATGCCTCAGTTGGCCTTTGAACTGTAGTCATTGCACCTTTATTTGTCATTGTCAGTTGCTGTAAAGTCAGATTCAAATCAAGGCAATCCCATGTACAACAGAACAAAGCATTACTTATTTCTGTGCCATCTTCATGATCGTGTATGTTCAAGTCCGTTATTTCAGCCACTGTATATTTGAGCTTAGACAACGTGTAGCATTGGGAAGGTCAACAGCGAAGAAACTGTTTCAAGTGCTCAGGAGCAAAGATATCTCTTTGAGGACTAAGGTGCATCTGACACAAGTCACGATATTTCCAATCACCTCGTATGTATGTGAAAGCTGGACAATGAATAAGGAAGACCGAAGAAGAGTTGATGCTTTTGAGTTGTGGTGCTGGCGAAGAATGCTGAAAGTACCATGGACTGCTAAAAGAACTAACAGATCTGTCCTGGAGGAAGTGCACCCGAAATGCTCCTTGGAAGCAAGAATGGCCAGACTTTGTCTCACCTATTTTGGTCATGTTGTCAGAAGGGACCATTCCTTGGAGAAGGACATCATGCTTGGTAGGGTGGAGGGTCGACGAAAGAGGGGGAAGCCTTCAATGAGATGGATTGACACAGTGGCTGCGATGATGGGCTCAAGTATAGCAGGGATTGTGGAGTTGGCACGGGATTGGGCATTGTTTCGTTCTGCTGTGCATGGGGTTGCTATGAGTTGGAAATGACTCGACAGCACCTAACAACAACAACATATTTTGAGCGCCTTCCAGTCTAAGGGGTATATCTTCCTGTACTGTTTTGGACAATATTGTCTTATGATCGTATGGTTTTCATTGGTTAATTTTCAGAAGTAGATTGCCAGACCTTCCTTCCCAGTTAGTCTTAGTCTGGAAGCTCTGCTGAAACCCATCCATAGGTGATCCTGCTGGTATTTGAAATATCAGAGGCATAGCTTCCAGCATCATAGCAACATGCAAGCCACCACAGGATAACAAACTGACAGACAGGTGGTTGGGATCTTTATTAACCAAACCAAAAACCAAACTCACTGCCATCGAGTTGATTTGACTCATAGTGACCCTTCTTTGGTTTCTGAGGTGGTATCTCTACAGAAGTAGATTGCCCAATCTTCCTTCCAAGGAGTGGATGGTGGGTTTGAACTGCCAGCCTCCTGATTAGCAGTCAAATGCTTTAGACACTATACCTCCAGAACATTTTTATTAGAGTTTTTAATATTTCTCCCATTATTAAACTTGAACCTCTATGAGGACAGAAGGTCTATTTTGATCTTTCTGGCTTGAAAGCCAGTTCTTGGCACACACATAGTGGGTATTCAGTAAATATTTATTGGTTGAGTAAATAAGTAAATAAATGAGTGAGAAACAAAAGAGAAGTTGGCATTGTTGATATGGAAACCACACATTATTCTGCTTCACTCTCTGAAATACTAGGGAAATTTCCCATGAGGTTTGGTATTCATGGAGAAGAAAAAGAAAAAAATAGTTTTTTATTCCATATTTCAGATATTACAGTGAATTCACTGGTAGGGGAGATTCTAGTATCTTCTTTAGAATTAGAATGTTAATGCTTTGCTTTTGTATATTTTTGTACATTTATTTCCTCTTTGTCTCTATAAGAATGTACTATAAAATCTCTTTGTGGTAGCCTTTAACATGTAAGTAAGGAACACACATGAAAAAAACATTAGAACCCATATCCATTTGTGCTTTTCTGCAGTACAGAAAGTATTTTGAGAATTCTAGAGCTGCCTCCACTCTGGAAAAACGTGCAAAGTCTGGTTGGCTGGTTTGTTTTATAGTAATCTGAATTGTCTCTGAGGACTGTGGCAATTTTCACCTCACCTGATCTTCATAATATCAAAATGAGGGCACAAAACCAGAAGAATGGAAAAATGTACAGCTACCCTCTCCAAAATGTGCTCTCTGCCTGACTGATCCACTCTTCCCCTTGGAGATTATAGTCCCCTAGAAGAACAACAAATACCAGCTTAGGCAAGGATGTGGCTGATAGAGCAGGCTTTTGGCCTCTTACTCCCATCTGTCCCAGGAACCTAAAGTCTTCATTAACTTCAGCTTCACAACATAAGTTTTTAATGTAATAATGTTGTTGTTGTTAAATGCTGTCAAGTCGTTTCCGACTCATAGAGACCCCATGCACAGCAGAACGAAACACTGCCCGATCCCGCACCAGCCCCACAATCCCTGCTATACTTGAGCCCATCATCGCAGCCACCATATCAATCCATCTCCTTGAAGGCCTCCCCCTCCTTCGTCGACCCTCCACCCTACCAGGCATGACATCCTTCTCCAGGGAATGGTCCCTCCTTACAACAAGACCAAAATAGGTGAGACGAAGTCTGGCCATTCTTGCTTCCAAGGAGCATTCTGGCTGCACTTCCTCCAGGACAGATCTGTTAGTTCTTTTAGCAGTCCACGGTATTTTCAGCATTCTTCGCCAGCACCACAACTCAAAAGCATCAACTCTTCTTCGGTCTTCCTTATTCATTGTCCAGCTCTCACATGCATACCAGGCGATCGGAAATGTCATGGCTTGTGTCAGGCGCACCTTAGTCCTCAAGGAGATATCCTTGCTCCTCAGCACTTGAAACAGTTCCCTTGCAGTTGACTTACCCAATGCTACACGTCGTCTAATGTCCTGACTGCTGCTTCCGTTGACATCGATTGTAGAACCAAGCAACGTGAATTCCTTGACAACCTCAATCTTCTCTCCATTTATTGTGATGCTGCTCATTGCTCCAGTTGTGAGGATTTTTGTTTTCTTTATGTTGAGATGTAATCCATACTGCAGACTGTATTCGTCAACCTTCATCAGTAG